ATGACAATATATGTTGATCTAATATATTGTCCAATGTCATCATCGTGACACTAATTACATGCTTCTATTGCAGTTGTGCAGATTAATGAAGTCGCATAACCATATATGGTCATCTGATAGTTGTTGTAACTCTTGTATGATGCTGTTATTATCGCACTGTCCCTATCGGCAACAGTGCTTTAGATATTACATTTAAGCATATTAATTAGTCATATTAGCATAACTGATCATCTGATATTTTTGTAATACCTCTTGTCCAATACTTTGCTTATAATAATGGCACATTACATCATTCATTTGATAATGTTTAAAATATATGTTTGCAGTGTTCATGTTTAGTAATGAACATTCTGTTAAAAAATTAATAAAGGCAATAAGTCGAAAATAATAGGGTTAAACATCTATGGATCATCACCCGCACATTCACATAAAGACGATAGTGCAGAATTTTGCATATATCCTTCAGGCAGTTAAAATTCATCCACAATCTTGTTTTTAAATATGGTCTGAAGATCAGAAGTGGGTAAGCAGAATCTTGCTGTATATTGTGTTTACGAGTATGTTGAATAACTGTTGTGCTTACGAGAAGGGGGATACGTGATTTGCACTTTTAATAAACCACCATGAAGGTATTAGTAGAGAGTGTGTGTGTTTATTAAGCGTGAAGATATAGTACAGAGTGAACGAAAGGACGCTGTTATCTTCACATTGGTAAAAAATGAAGCATCGCTTTGAATAAAAAAAACATTCTATTCTATGTATTATCCTCCACTCTAGATCTCTTTTTTACTTAGTTTCATTTAAAGTTAAGCTAAATGTCACCTGGTAGACGCAGCCACACCGTGTCAACTCATGGCATCACTTTGTAATGTATTATTCTTCGATTGTATACTCAAATTTATAGGGTGGCTGGTTCAAACTGTCAGATATGTGCAGTTTAATGCTTCAATTAATGTCCGTGCTTGATTGTAAAAAGCTCGGGGAGATTAACATGTCATCTTTTCTAATTTTATTAAACGAGTTCCAATAATTGAAAAAATTCGTGGCGACCCCATCAAAAGTAATCAATCCTAGGTCTCGGGTAACTGTGGGTGATTTGGTGAAACACTATGGATAAGGATAAAATTTACATTTTTAGTAACAGAGATGCATAAAGTAGGCCAGAGATGGCGCCACTTTGTCTCATCTCCCGACGAAAGAGAACCAGTGCCGTGAGGGCGACGTTTAGACGAATTATACTTTGTGTTCTACTATAGATTAATTTAATGAATGATTGGGTGAAGCAGTATAGATAATGACAAAATTTAGTCGTTAAAAACTGATAATAATTAGGACATGCCCTTGGTACGAGATAGCTTGGGCATAACGATTCTATCATTCTATGTTTGGCCTATTTTGGTCAATCATTACAAACCCGAATCTGGCCGGTAATGTGGGGGCTCTTATACTGATGGCAAGTCTGTTGGGATTTCGCGGTCACATGACTTTCGCGTTCACCCCCTCGCTTACGCAATTTATATTTCAAGGAGTTTTCATCGGAATCGCAACAGACTGCAAGCAAGTGTAATTTGCCGCCAAAATTGTGTTCGCCAGTGAGCGAATTTTGTAAACTTTGTTGAACGGAAAATATGTCAACAGCATGGTTGCTGGTTTCCATTGATTTAGTTTGATGTGCATAAGCTTTTGCATTTATTGACTTTTGTCGAACTTGTGATTCGTTATCTTTCTATTCAGGCCGTTTCTTTGTGGAGAAATCTCGTGTTATTGTGATTAGTAAATATCTTGACGTCATTAAGACTATTACCATATAAGGATTTGCACGCAGTTTGTAGCTGATCGAAACTGTATTGCAGAGCATAGTGCTGGTTGATTGTTTATACAGTGATATTTGTAAGAAGACATTTGATTGCTTGTTATTTGATTGATTGTAGCATGAGTCACAACTGTATAGTAGTAATTGTGATTCATAATTAATGTCACTATGAATATATTGCAGTTGACTGATCTTGCATTCTTATGATTGCTAGTTGTTTGTTAATAAATTGTTTATTGTTTAGAATTAATAAGATATCTTTATTTGTGATAGGTGTTCGTGGGTACGGTCAAAGCTGGTTCGACACAATACTTATCCATTGCCATTGATTTGGATTGAGAGGACCATTCTCTTGGGACTGTGTGTACTGACCCCTTTTTAAGCAGTGAGGAACACTTTCTGTTTCCTTATCGTCCACTTTGAATCCGATAGCCTATTTGTGTTTGGTTGTCTGGCGACAAGTGGATGAGGGCGGGACACTATCAACTGATTACTGATTACGCGTAACAATTCGATTTATTACAGTCAGTGACTATCTTACATACTAAGTAAATGTTAAATCTGCTAGCCTAGAATTATGTAGCTTGGACCAGGTGTTTGCTTTAGGCGTAGTGACAGTGCCTTCGTGAAAATATTATAATCGGCGCAAATGAGGCTTTTCAATAAAATTTTATGTTATTTTCATGTTAGAGCTATGACTGCTCTGCATGGGACATTGATAAGATGCCCTCAGCGATGGAAACCGCAAAACACCTCGTGTAAATCAAAAACCACAACTGCCCCGAATTTAATTTCGCGAGATAGTACGTCAATAGCAATTCCATTTGAGTCAGTTCATCAAGCATAACTGAATTATCAGACATTTCAGCGATGTCAACGTCTCAGAATCTTTTTTGAGCTTTCTATAAGACGTGAGGGGTCACAGTAAAACAACAAGTTAGTTTGTATATTTCAGATATTTTCCTCCTTAAGGAAGTTTTTACGATGTTGAGTGATTGTTTTATCAGGGGTAAATTCTTCTCCTCTGGGTTCTCCACACGTGTCAGGGGGGAATCTCGTCTCGTCTCTCTATAGCGTCCCGGGATCGGGGAAGTCACTTAAACTTTACAGTCAAATAGACGCACACAACAAAATACGTTTCAACTCTCGTCTTAGTCGGTCAATCGAGCACTCTATGAGACACAGCGCCCTGGGGAAAAGTCCCCAAGACTATCGCAAGGCTGGCCCAAGACTCACCCAAGACTGTGTCAGGACTCGCCCCAAGACTCTCCAGGACTGGACTGCGTCTTTCTTTGTGTACTCGCCAAGACCAACTAAAACAACTTTATTCATTTTCAAAACCTAACCAATTACAAAGCAGTAAAAAGACTCTAAGGCGTGGCCGTCACACATTCAACTAATCACACTAAGTATTGAACACGTCATATCTTTTGATTAATCGTTCACTACATTAATAACTGCGAATTCTAACTGTCAGAAATAGTAGTCCGAATAGCGACGGTTATCTCGTAATTAGTTCCAAATCACTGAGTCGAGTTCCGTCCAGAACATCACGATGACAGACATAACACAGCCATTTATTCGTAATCAGCTAATTAAGTCAGTCAACAGATACACAAAAACAAATTCATCATAGTTTTGTGCAAGTAATGTTTCTAAAGATTAAAAATGGAAGGTGACTAATCATGTCAGACTCGTTTACAAGCTGATGCCGAGTACGAACTGATGCTCCTTGGACTTGGTTTTTAATGCGGGCTTCAAGATCTAATGTTTTGCTTATATTCCGCAGATAAACTTTGATTAAAATTAAAGTAGGTTTCAAGATTATTAAGTGCATGTGAGCATGTCTTAATTGTGTTTGTAATTTGATGTCTAGAGGTGTTGCTTGGTTTATACTGTTATTTTACTTTTCATATTTTTTTCTCTATATATTGGCCACAAATGTGTGAGTATCGGAATCAAGTAGATGTGTTTAACCCTGAGTTACTGTAACCTCTGTAACAGCTGCCAACAAGCTTGAAACAATGATTAAATATGTTAAAAGATAAAAGTAGACATTATAACATAGACACACAGTATATTACATAGTTGTTTATTGGGTCTCAAAAATGACAGTAGTAACATTTAAATTTAGTAAACTGCCATCAACAAGTGCAGATATAATTTTTGAGATGTGAAGTAATTGTTTGTGAATACCTTACCACATGTCAATTGGTTTAATCAATACAAGTGTAAAAACACTTTGAAACTTAAAAGCTAAAAATGTAGTGACGTTTAAAAAATATCAGCATGCCATTACTTAGAGAAGAGAGACATTAACAGATATTACAACAATGATGTACAATACATTATTTTAAAACGTTTTTTTAAGTTACGACTCTTTGAGTGGTTCTGTAGCTTAATGTAGCCTATGAATTCACGATTTATGTAGATTGGTCTGTTAAGTGGCATGAAATGTAGACGAATGTCTGGAGCAAAGTCTAGACAACCCTCCAGGATAGTTTATATTTTTTATTTCGTATTTTTTCTAAAAGTTAAATGAGCCCAGAAGATGTAAAGTGAATGTTTTACAGATTGGAAATTTCCGAGAAAAAAGCCTGAATAATTATAACACTGTCACATCGTCCGTCTTCACTATCCTGGTTATTATCTGCGTCAACAGTTACCAGATTCGGTAGTGATAATATATAGGAATATTGCACAAATAATAATCAGTACGGCGATCGTATAGACAGATGCACATCAGAGGTTAATGTGTCCATGTACTGCGATGCAGTATACTCGTGATAACCTTACATTTTCTCCTGCTTTTAGTGATAATTTATTGAGAGGCAACGGCAACGAAAACGTATTGCTATGCGCGATGTTTGCATTCAGTTTCAGCCACGTGGTAAATCGCTTCTGCGTCTAATGTAATCGACTGGGACATAAACACGACTCATTTCTATAAATAATGAAGATACTCGAACGTGTCCGTGACACGTTTGAAGACGTACGCGCGACGTCTATTGTTTCCTGTGTTAGATGTATAATGACGTATATTCTGCATAATGTTCCTGTCCTAAAAATGCAATTTGCGTATGCTGATCTAGTCTTTGTAGGACCTTTTTTTATTTTATGTTAATTCGTGCCATCTTCTTGGTATTGCGGCGTGAGGTGAGCAGCGCGAATTTATGTTCATAACCTTTTATACTACCACATCCGGTGTCACTCGATTTCCACAAAACAGTGAGCGAATACCACCAAACATTTGGCTTGTTGATTTTCGAAACGTCTCGTCTGTGATATAATATACCACTGGGTTGTACACGCATGAAAACTTTGCAAACAAAGTTGGTAACGTGGTCAATGCTATTGGAATGCCAGCTGCACTACCTTGTATTACTGAAATTAACGACATAACAGCATATGGAGTCCAGGAAACAAGGTAACATATTGTGGTAATTGCGAACATCTGAAAATAAACCAAAACGATATTAGACACTATGAATTAGAAATCATAAACAGCTTACAAACATACTTTTGTAGACATCTGTGCTGAACTTTTGATTAATGTATATACGTTTTAGTCTAAATATTATTGAAATATAAAAAACATCTCCTTATATTGTGTTACATGTACTACCGCATAATAAGTTCCAAGAAAATATATAATTGATTGAGAACTGATCTACCCACTCACACAAAACGTTAGATTATTTCTGAAATATAACATTTTTTCAAATCAATATCATGTACAATTCATGTTGACTTGTATATACTAGAACTAATTTGGACTGTATGTCATCATTATCGTGCGCATATCACAAAAAAACGGAAGCCTGTTCGAAGCCTGTGACACGTTAAGTCATATGTGAACTGTAATGCATGCAACTTTTACTTACTACACGCCCCATTTTGGTCAGTGTAAGCAAAATGTATTTACGAGAGAGATATACATATTAAATCGGGATTTTTCATTTTTATCGAATATCAATAACTTTATCAATTGGTACAACGATTGACTGACGTAATTAATACAAAAATACAAATTGAAGATTATTTTCATCATGAACCTAAACAACAGAAAACATTCACGCGACATAACATTTCCTCGTTTCCCTTCATCTAGTCATTGGTCTTAAAATATTTCACCAATACCTTAGTTGTTTTCCTTTGCTTGTTCATTTCGGATTTTCGACTATCTGAGAATAAGTTCTGTTGTATCTGTCTGACTGTTAAGATAATTCCACCATAGCTGTATACGATTGATACCAAGCAAAATGCAAAGCACCACACGAATATACAGACAATGTATGCGATATCAGCCTTCTGAGTACTTGTCCAATCTATCGTGCATGATGTCAGATGTGGTTCCAGGGCATACCTGCATAAAAAGAAACACTTTCTAGAAGATAATAGCAAAGTATTCCTCCATGAAAAAGCTATCCAATGTGTATTTAATTTTTTGAATTTATAAAAAATATAAAAACAACATTGGAAAACTAGCACTATATTGTTCCCAATTTCTCTAAATAATAATTCCACTGAAAAGGACAAAACAACAAAAGAATGCGAACCTGTCCCATCCTACTAGAGGCGCAACAGACCAAAATGCAGAATAAAGCCATATCATGGCGATGATGATAAGTATCGTATTCTTTTTGATGGACGTACCTGCAAAAGACGTAACTATACTTATTATACAGAACAGATATCACAACTATAATACTACAATGTAATAAGTACTGTACAATCTAAATCAGAATACTGAAATCTAAATCAGTATACTACAATCTACACAGATGCAGTACAATCTAAATCAGAATACTGAAATCTAAATCAGTATACTACAATCTACACAGATGCAGTACAATCTAAATCAGAATACTGAAATCTAAATCAGTATACTACAATCTACACAGATGCAGTACAATCTAAATCAGAATACTAACATCTATTTCAGTATACTAAAATTTAACCTAGTATATTACAGTCTATATAAATAAAGTTCAATCAGTTAACAACAATCTATATAAATAATGTACAATCAACATGAGTATACTACAATCTGTAATAAATACAGTACAATCTAAATCAGTATATTACAATCTACATAAATAAAGTACAATCAGTATATTAAAATCTATATACCTTCAGTACAACTAGTAGATGACTAAACTACGATCTATAATAAATACAGTACAGTCTGAATCAGTATACTACATTCTATAATAAATACAGTGCAATTTAAATCAGTATACTACATTCTATATAAATACAGTGCAATCTAAATCAGTATACTACATTCTTTAATATATACAGTACAATCTGAATCAGTATACTACATTCTATAATAAATACAGTACAATCTGTACAATTTATATTATGTAATATAAATCACTATGCTACAATCAACATAAATACTGTACAATCTAAATAAGTATACCACAATCTATATAAATACAGCACAATCAGTATAATACAATCTATATAAATACAGCACAATCAGTATACTACAATCTATATAAATACAGCACAATCAGTATACTACAATCTATATAAATACAGCACAATCAGTATACTACAATCTATATAAATACAGTACAATCAGTATACTACAATCTATATAAATACAGCACAATCAGTATACTACAATCTATATAAATACAGTACAATCAGTATACTACAATCTATATAAATACAGCACAATCAGTATACTACAATCTATATAAATACAGTACAATCAGTATACTACAATCTATATAAATACAGCACAATCAGTATACTACAATCTATATAAATACAGTACAATCAGTATACTACAATCTATATAAATACAGCACAATCAGTATACTACAATCTATATACATTCAGTAATCTAAATCAATAAAATACAGTACAATCGAAACACTACACTACAATCTGAATAAATGAAGTACAATTGAAATCAGTATAAAATATTTTACACAAATACAGTACATCTAAATCAGTATACTACAATCTACATAAATAAAGTACAATCAAAATCAGCATACTAAAATCTAACACAATCAAAATCCGTATTTGTTGCATCCATATAATTATGGCTGGAATGAAACAATTACAAATTAAACAGTGCAGTAGGGATATACGCATACTTATATAAAGCAATACTTGAATGTTTGACAGTTTGGTATGACAAGGGAGTGCTCACGTATAGAGATTGTAGTACTGAAATTATTTACCTTGGTTACCGACAACAATTGAATAACGCACGATTGCGATGACGGACAGTGTTATCATGCTGACACAGTTGAAGAACCAACCAGAAAATCCAACCAACGAGCATCCAGTGGAACCGAAATACCACTTGAAAATACGAAAAAAAAAGCTTTATCATAACATATGTATGCAATATCACAACACGAAATTTGACATGTGTCATGTTAGGACTGGTTCTTGAGGTTAATTGTACAGGAAGTGAGATTCAATATTATCAATATACTAATGTTTGACATAATGCAGAAAAAAAATAATCCATTTTTTACTTTGCATGTTTATGCACTATTACTGTGAATGTTTATGCTTTAGCATTCATGTCGTTGTTTTCAATCAAGAGTCAATCAGAGTAAAATAGTATAGTTCTTATGTTAAAATATATCGGTGCGACCACATATAGTTTGTTAGTGACTACCGAAGAATACCAATCAATTACGTCGTCGGTTACATTGAGGACAGTACATTGCCAATTAGCCTTAGATTCAAATAACGTGCCATTATATACCACCATCGCGTTTGAATAGCTATCTATAGCTATGTATGCAATGGGAGTAAAAAGGAATTAAATGGATTAATTCACATACCATATGATTACGGGCTGAAACCGCTGCCAACACATAACCAGTTGTAACGGCACCAATATCAGCGACGGCGATGTTAATAATAAAATAGTCATGCGTCTTTAGTTGTTTTCTGTTTTTCACTTTTACAGCTAAAACAGTTACATTGCCGAACAGTGACAGTATACCTGAAGAATAAATTGAATTTATTATAGCATTTGACAATAATTGTAAAGCTCACTTGCCGTTCGAACAATGCTAGAACATAAACATAACATGACGCACAATTATGCAATATGACGTAGTGACATTGAGAATGTATGAGTGCTACGTCACGGCGGTTGCCCATATCGTCATGAATATATAATTCTCTTGTAATATTTAGAGTTTGTTGCAGGTATTAACCATCACTAATCAATTCATTCATTCAGAATTCATAGTATGCATCTACAAAGCTACATTTTACTCAACAATCACCCACTCAAACAACACCATATACCCTCTGACCTGATCTTTTCGGGTGAAATAGCTCACAAGACAATCAAAGTGAAAATACGAAACGGTACGATTCGAAATGAACAGTTTCAGATGTTTCGGAAAAAAATAACAAAATTATACATCCTCAACGCTCGATAAATACCTAGACAAACATCACAAATGTTTTGTTTATAGCTGGGAAGCAGAATTAGCCAATATGTTATTATACGCCCATGATTGCCCATGATTCAAAGTGATCAAGTGTTGTTAATGCTTGATTTTTTGTGTTTTCTATTATTTGCAAGAAACGTGAACTCTAGTCCATAATGATCATCAGCCGTTAATTTTCACATGGAATAAGTAATATAACAAGCACTGCAATACACATACAAGGTTTAAATCATAACCAGATACTACAGTCCATGCTGTACACAAATGCAGTTGAGCGTTTTTGCTGTTTTGAATTTCCGAAGTGCCATGTAAATGTTCTAAATGTTGGCACAATCGTCTGGGTGATCTCAATTGCAACATTAACAATTTTTGTGCAAATATTCCACACTGTACCATTATTGAACCCTCTTTCCCATTAACTTTAAGTGGGGTGAGACAATACTGAAAAATACCTAAAATTGATGTAAACATTCATCCAACATAATTGAAACTATGGGTATTGTTATAACCTCAGAGTCACACCTCATTTACATATTGTAAATGATAAAGGTCACTAAATTAAATATAGATAATATCATGTATTAGTTAAATCTGTTATTTGTGTTCAATCAGACCAATCTAGTTCTTAAACATTGGTTAGAACTGTTCATAGTTGATGAAGACGTTATCAAAATCCCAAGTTTGTAGATGCTTTTGGATATTGAATATTCACCGTTTGACTGCAAAAGTGTGTATACCAGATGTAAAGTAAGCGTTTGGCTTCTATATCCTCAAAAAGTATGATGATGATTATTAGAAGGGATGCACATGATTACAATGACAAGAAAATAACATTGGAATATTTTATGTCACAGTGGATTGAGTATGTTCAATGTGATCAATTAGGCAAAATATGTTACGCTGAAACAACAAGGCATAGAATTTCCAGCTGATAAATCGATAAAGTCACTGAATTCTTATGGTGCACATAAACTGTTAGATATTTCAGGGAATTCAGTGCAAATGCCCAAGTTGCTTATAATATGAATACTGAGAATATTGTATTCAAAAGTGAAGGTCGTTCAAAATACAAAATGTGCTTAAGCCCTTCAATGGGTTGAGAGGGTAAAATAGATTAAATTGAATGTTATAGAGAAGGTAGAATAGTCAACACCATGATCAGCCAAGACGTGATTGTTCCAAAATCATCGGGGTCCCAGACTATGTTTAGATATTATCAGGAAAACATGCAGCGTTTTTGAATAAGACAATGTTATATTCGGAGTAGTCAAAACTCTCAAAACGTGAATCAAACACTGGGTTTTAAGTCTATAACTTAAACCATACCGTATGGCTTTTAAAAAGCAATCTTAATATGAGTGATGATAGTGATAATATAAAAAAGGGTATTCGTTATGTAGCAGAATAAGTGACATAAATTATTGATAAAACATGCTGGCTGGACAAGAAATTGGAAATAATTGAACTTAACAAATGATAGAAAATTGAAATAATCGACTTGCCTCATGTAAGACATTTAGAAATGAGCATACTGTGTTAGGTAAACTAGCACTCAAACGCACTCTGATGAATTATTCATAAAAGTCTGAGAAAAACCACAAAACAAAACCGGGATTGTGCAGGGAAGTTTGTTGGCCACGCATTAATTAAGACGCGTATCTGATATGTCTTAGCATAAATGTCAGTTGGTGACGAAGTCATTCATTAGTGAATATTGTTCTCACTCAGCTGCCTACTGGTCTTAGTAATATGTGGTTTTAAATTTATTGGACCCACTACAAATTAATGAATACATATTGGTTACCATCACTAAAGTGGAATCTTTAGGATTGATTATATAATGTTTGTAGCATTAGAGAAGACGTATTGATGCACGATTTACTATATGGATAACTTTTAGTCAGAAATTTGACAATGGATCCCAGCTTATTTCAATTCCAATCAGGAATTAGAACAATACCGAGAAGAGTAAACATGATTCACCTATGGCCATAGGCGAATTGAAGAGGTGGAAAAACATAATATATCACTGTTAAAGATATTAAAATAGAGCATTTGGCACTAAGACCTAAATAAATGTCCTATAGCATAACAGTCTGCATCACACTCCAGTTGCAGTTACAATACAACAAAAATGTGAAAGAAATGTGAGAATGTGAAAGACGGAGAAGTAGTGAATGTGAATGACGGACTGATTAGCAATAGAAATACTAAATTTAAACAAAAACATTTTTTCGATTCACTTAACAATATTCTGGAAGCAGTCGAATATTATCAAGGTTCGACATTAAGACCAGGAAACAATTTGACCGCACCATATGAGGATATTCCATTATACATGATAATAAACAAGTGACTATCAAAACTCCGGCAGGGGTAAAATACCGGTGCAACATGTCTCAAATGAAAAATACCTGATAATGATATAATTGAAACACAAAGTAAACGCCAGACAGATATTTCATGTTATATAATTTCTTAAAGTGACAAAATACAACACAATTTGAACCACCTTGAAAACAAAACTTGATTGGACTGTTATAATATACATAATTATGGTGACAACAAGGAAAACGCGGTAGAGCAATCCCCAGCTGTATGTAGGTGTTTGTAGCTCCCAGTCGGATCCCTCTTGTCCGCGATTTCTTACATATGAGATGCTTTAACGAATACTGATAAAAGTGTGAAAACAGAACCGCGTAGATATTGTTTATGTCATTTCTCAGCTGTATTGGAATTGGAGTAAAATGGCGTCGGGGGATATTTAGCCAAAATAGTGCATTTCACAGTCTGCGATTGAGACAGTGTATCAGCGCTGTGACATAACATACAAACATTGCTCACGTCAATACGGTGACGCAACCACATTTCTGACAGTCAAATTTTGATATATGTTATGGACTACGTTGTGCGATATAACGTTGCTTGAGTGAAATTGTGAACTTGTCACTGGGTGAAAAGCTAGGCAAAACACAAATCATGAAAACAGCATACCCAAACTCTCAAATTGTCATATACAAACAATTTTACGTACACGTGTATTATATTTATATAATGCATTATATACGTATTATATTCGCCAAAACATTTTATTTACAAACTATTTTGTTTCTGGTTGTGTATTGAAGCTATCTTTTAAGACTTTTAATTGCTGTATTATACGTTATTTGAGCTAAGACATGACAATTTCTTTATATATAATATATTAGAAGCAAAACTATAAGTAATGAGTTATATCTTTTATTATATACAAATAAATTCAATAATTTACTTCATTATATGCAAACAATTTGGAACGATGGACTTAAGACCCTAATATATTGCAAAATGCACTTATAATAAAGCTACTTCCACTCAGCCTCAAGTTTGCATCATGAGGTGCTCTTTGTTTATGCTCTGTCACATCGTTTCCTTGTGCCTTGGACACTACGCTTCCCTAATACTATTAAAACCTACCTCTTGCTGCTTAGGGTCATCACTGACTGTTAATTTAACCTATGACAGAACTGTACATAAAATTGAGAGATCTTAACTTCTTGTGCCGAAAACCATCATAGGGTTCCAAAACATTCTCTTTTTTTTCATTGTGAGTTTACCGTCATTATGCTGAAGTTTAGACGTAGTATGGTTTTGTAGGGAACAGTCAGTATGATGGCCGCGCTCAAACAATGATATAACATGGACTTAACATGGACTTGACAAGAAATATTGTAATAAATTGCAGTAGTGGTTGTTTACGTGTTTTTACTGTAAAATGTGAAACCATTTAAGCAAAAATTGCCCACCAAAGCCCTGAGTATATAATTATTACAAAACTAGTTGACTATAAAACATAAAACCGGAACCAGAACCTTTCTATAAACACACATACGTCTCTGAGAAAATCATTAAACTAAATTCAGTTAAATTACATTAAATTAGAATGCAATGTTATACATTTGTTTACATTTGTTTTAACAAGTTTTGCTATTATAATTAGGTTTACTTTAATACTAATTTCCAGTATGCAATTATAGCTCTTGTTCCGCATTTTACAGACAGCTGAAAGCAATGAGGAAGACCATCTCACAAATCAAGGTGAAACCGAAATTGAAAGTACACCTGGGCTACCTGTGGTAATATAGTGATGAAACTTCTTCACCTGCTTCACCCACCGTTTACTAACTAGTCCATACCCGTCAGTGAGCGATGTAAAGCCAATATTACCACAAATGTCATTACTACAGCAAAAAAGGCGTCATGAATCAGTTAGTAAATGTGTCTGACATGCCAACAATATTTGGCCTATCAAACACTCAACATTCTTACAAATAAATAACTGTTTTAGGTGCCGATCTATTTAACACTTATCTCAGAAGCACGCATGATGAAACATTTTAAAATAAAATAAAGAAATATGTCAAGTTGAACCACTGTCTACTTTTGAAACTCGGAGATCATCACAATGTTAG